GTGTGTGGTTATGCTGGTATTAGAGTCCAACATGCATGAAAAAAATCTGAGGGGCTATATTATCCTGTTACTTTATTTATAGGAACATTTAGTATTGAAGACAGCTATTTGACAGCTTTCAAAGGATTCAAGAACATCGCTAAGGAAGACAGATTATATTTTAATTATTTCATGATACTAATCAGGGTGAGACACAAGCTCCAATAGAATCAAAGCTAACGCGAGATAGAGTGAGTGCATAGTCCTCAATAATCACTATTCTCTTTAGCCTCATTTATTTAGTGATCCAGTAAACACAATGGGACTTGAGTGAGCCTTTAAAATGGGCTTTTGACACTTGTGTGGAAGCATATACCAGCTTCCTACTTGGTCAGTTCGGGGTTTTTTTTCTTTTTTTTTTCTTTCTTTTCTTTAGAAAACATCAGGTATGCCAATAAGTCTAAATCAACTGTCATTCCAAACAAATATGCTTGTTAAATGCACAGACATATACAAAATACAAAGCTTAGGAAAAAGACTTCAGGCTCAAAGTCAGGAAGGGGAAGCATCATTAAAAAGCCCTAAATAGAGGGCTCTTCTTTAGGACTTGTTATTTAAGTCAGTCAAGCATGGACAACAACGTTTGATCTTTCGAAATGAAATTTCCATCTCCAAGGACAGAAAACAATGCTTAGATAAGAGCAGCAAGCCTATCCTTCCTTCCTAAGAGGAAATATTAAAGAAGATTCAGTGCAAATATTAAAATATTTAGATATTTCTATATCCTAGAGCATTCCAAAATTCCAGTTAGAAAAGCCAACAAATATCTTGTGTTGGAATGTGCTATTATTGATACAATTTAACTTGCAAGAAATGCAAAGATGGAGTTTGTGACAGGAACAGATGTTTTCCTGACCTACATCAACCAACAGGCACAAATGGGCAGAGAATATTGTCATATGCAAATTGTATGCAGGAAGCTTAGAAGAATTTTCTTTCACTTATTTTCTTGCATCTTTTTAAAAAGATTTATTACTGTGTGGTATCAATGAATGCTATGAAATATTTTTATTTGCATTAGTGGCAATTTGGCCAACTGGAGTTGGGGTGACTTCAAGGCATATAATTTTTAAAAAAGTGTCCTCTGACTTATTGCTAAGTCTGGCCTATCTGTATCTGGGCACATAATGGTAAGTGCTCAGCTTCCCAGACTCTTACCTAAATATCCAGAGAATAACATAGTGAGCACCCATTTAAAGTGCATTAAGTACGTGCAGCATTTAACGTAGTCATTTCAGATTCAAGTTTACTTGCATATCACCCAGGTGTTTTGTTTTTTTTTTTTTCCTCTTTACTGAAAGTCTTCTCAGGAACTGGAAGACATGAATTGTGTGCATTCAAAATAAGATGCCATCTGACTATTAATATTATGCTATGAACTGTAATAGAACATCAACAGCAGGAAAAACCCCACTAATACCTTTATGACTCCATGTGGTTTCCTAAGGAAGCCCTTCTAATGCAAGTCAGGACTATTTTGGATAGTACTTGTCTAATGCTGCTGGACTAGGTCCAAAATAGTTCCAGACACTTTCAGGGCATCCATTAGCCTGCTAGTACATAATCATACTCTGGTCTACCCTAGATGTTTTAAATCAACATCTCAGAAGTGCACCAACATTGATTCCTTTAACTTTTAGAACATTTATTTCCCATAGGAAGTTACCTTTCTACTCAATTCACATCAAAGGAGGAAGGAACTTTGTTAGTTGCAGGATTAAACTTGGCCAGCTTCAGTTGTTATGCTTAATAGGAGTAGTCACATCAGTGGGTGAAGTCTGGTCTTGAAAGAGCCAATTTACTCAAACAAGAAATCCAACTGCTCTGTTTATCTATTGTACTTGACAAGGAATTCAGCTTTTGCCACAAATAATACCTAGAAGTTTTATTACAAAATTACTACATCAGTTCAGCAAAGTTATGTAGAACTGTGGACTCTTCTTTTTCTTACAAGTACAATATACCATGATGACAGGAGCACACATTCTTTCAATAAACATCTGTCTTTCCCCTGAACACTCAGCAGACAACCGGCAGAACTGAAGCACCTTTCGTTGTTATGCTGCTGATCCAATACAGCATGAAGCCATAAAACAGCAAGAAAAGCTTCACTTTCTTAAGTTTGTTATGAGCTTAATGGCGTAAACAAATAATGTCCCAAAATATTTTGCTGTCAACCAAGGAGCTGTTCAAGCACAGAATATCTCAAGTCATACAGAGAACTAGAAGAAACGTCTTCATAGGACAGGCAAGATGAAGTGTTTGAAACTGCAGACACACCATCCCCAGAGACAGGATCTAATATGGGAAGACCACTAGGAGAAAGATTTCAGAGATCCAAGACAGTAATAAACAAATGAAATTGAACATCAGGAAAAGAGCAAGTAAAAAAAGACAACTGAATCCTTTAGAGCATCTCTTAACACTTTGCTTACAATCCTTAAGTGATACAGCCAGATTATTATTTTCACATAGACACAAAAACTATGTTACTTCCCAGCATTTAGACCCAAGTCACATGGCACTGGATTGAAACCAGTAAGAGTAAGAATCAGGTAAGAAAAGTAAGAGCATCTGATATACTCTTACTGGCATCATGAAAACTCAGAACCCACTAAAGTACTAGAACACAAACAAATTCGGGTGTGATGCAACAGCAAATATTTAAACTTCTTCCTCTGGCAATCAGTGTTAAAAAAAAAAAAGCTATTTCCTGTAAATCTGTGTTAGACTAAAATTATAATTTATACCAGTGGAGGAGTACATTTCAAGTTGGAATATAATAAATTTGTTGCTAAACTCAAGCAAATGAAAACTACTTTTTAATATATTTAACATACTTTATGCACTCTGTGTGTAGCCCTGCATAACAAATTCAAATTCATCTCAGCTCGTGAGCAAACTGGAATCTACTTTGTCTCCCGCTCAGTCTCAAAATAGTGAGCTAAATTCCAATTGTACAGTTTTGACTATTATTTACACAAAGGGTAGGAAAATCACAGCTTGACTTCTAAGATAAATAGAATTTATTTTCTGCTGGCAATTGAACGATCTAGAATTAGATACAGCATAAAATCAACTTGAGTAAGATCACAAAACAAGGCTAGGAAAAGCTGCACTGAGGGGCTGTCAGTACAAATTAAAACGCCTAACACACCTCTACTTGGGTTTCATTGTCCAAATAAGTATTACTAAGACACACAATCTACTTTTTGCATTTTTGTTGAGTCTCATTCAGCTAATGACCAAGAACAATTCCATACTTTTCAAGAAATAGAGAAACATCAAATCTTTATTTTGTCAGAAAGGAACTCTGAGGTTTATCAGCATTTTGAACTAGTATTTTGATAGACTCCTTTACAAGGGCTGGTTTTAGTTAAGGATCAAATCATAGGCCTGTTTTCAAAGCAGCCCGTGATATAAGAAGCAGAAAGCTGAACAGAGCATAAGACAAAGTTGCCTAAACTGCAAAAGCCAAAGTTCTTATAGAAAGCACTCTCCAATTAGGTCCTTTCTTAGCAAAGTCACTCCTGTGTAGTGATTTTTCACTGCTCACAAATACTTTCAAAAGAGATCATCTCAGTTGCACAGCAAAGGGGGTGGGGGAGAAGGTTGATAGATTTTAATGCCACTGAGTTTTCTTAGCCATCTACCTCCACGGAGGAATAAAAAAATTTACAATGTGTTATTCTGTTGAGATTCAACCACTCTTCATCTTTTGCTTTTCACCAGTAGTCACCACCTTATTAGTTTACCGTAACTTCTACATAATCTTTTAGCACTTCATTAGAACATAACTATTTTTAACTTTCTTCACAACAACTGGACAGGTGTTTTATAGCAAGCAGGTTCTTTAAGTTACCCCAAGTAGTCAAAGATTTATGCCACCAGAATCCAGGTAACATAGCTTTGAAACCTCACTAAAAACGCAGACTAGCTTGATTAATCCCAAAGTTGATGTATTCATGACATTAGTACGATGTGCTATAATGTTTAAGCAGCAATGAAGCCTTGCAATACTCTAGACACCTACCACAAGTGGCTAAAGAACCCCAGGCCATTTCCCACCAGGCAACTGAGCAGTTAAAAACTACCATGGCCATTTATTTTTTTTTCTCCTTGGGGCTTTAGCTCTTCCAGTAATCTCTGAAGTGACCTAAGTTGCCAAAACAATTTAATCTCTTGATTACTACCTGTTATTACAGCACTCACATGCAGTGCCTTCAAACCACACAGTGGTTCAGACTGTAGCATCAAAGAAGTTTCTACACTGTACTTTAAGCACTTATCTGTACAACAGTACAGCATTTTGCACCCAGATTTGTATCACAGAGAAGGAAATGGCAGGAACCGTGCCAGAAAGCAGCTAAAGTTAAGAGCTCTGAAGGGGAAAACCTTCCCTCCACTCTTCATGAATTATCACACCTTTTTGTCAGATATTCCTCGAGCTGGATACCCAATACATTTTATCATTTTGTGGCCTAACAACAGATTATTCCTTTTATTAAAGGCAAACAGTTAAGAAGAGACTAATCAGTACATTTTCTTCATTTTCCTTTGTATTACATCCACAAATGTTTCGGACATAGCAAAACCTATATTTTCTATAATTAGACTAGCTAGTAGTCTTTCAACATACTTGAGCAGAGGACAATTTATATTCAAAGCTAGAGATGTGAATTACTACTCTTCCATTCCTGTCTCCCTCAACAGCAATTCTGGGTGTTCAGTTCACATAAGTGCTGGATTTTCATAAAGTATTATATTTCCCTCAAATAAAACAAGTGTTGAAAAGATCTCATTTCAGCATCCAACACCATATATACTCAAAAGAAAGGGGTACTGTTAGGAAAAAGCACATGCTCTGCATATACAACCAGAGAGGAAGAAACACATCACCAAGAAAGTGGATGCATTTTCCGTACCTTAAGTAATCTTAAATCTAAAGAGCACATGAAAAATTTCCATTTTTAATGTTTTTATTCAAATCAATATACAAATAGAAACATTTCAAGATGTACAAAAATAAAAAAAGGACATTTTCTACACCTTAAAAAAGCAGATCAAACTTATGTCTATATGTACACTCCTTTCTGTGGGAAATCCTAATCAGCAGACATTCCTCTGTTCTCTTCAGAGCATTCTATGCCAAATCCCCTCCCCCAAAATCCAGCCATACTTATGACTACAAGTAACATTTCAAATAATCTAACATGCTATGTGTCCCTGAACAGATTACACAAAATGCATTTCTCACAGTTAATAACCATGATAACATATCTCCCTAATGACTCTAGGGCAAACCATGTGCTGATGGATAGTTTGCAATTCAAGCTTTCTGTAGTTTGTTGATATATAACGTGAGCATAGTTGGACTACATTTTTCTTTTTTAAGCTATTTTTAGAAATTTCAAAAAGCAATTATAGCTTTGTTGATAGCATTCTTCCTTCCTCCCTCTTTCCCCCAAAGCTTCAACTCTTCAAACAAAAATCTATCTGCAAATAAGAATGAAAAGCAGTAGAAGGGGTCTGAACCCAAAATAATTGGTTTTTACATCATCTGCCAACATAATAGGAACTGAAATGATCACCTGCTCAATAGCACATTGTACTAATGAATGTAGGGGAAGTATTATCACAATAACACTGTTTTGAACCACCCTATAATGCACAACCAAATATCTTTTGTATGAAGTTTTGCTCGGTGATACTGTTCAAATTATCTCAAGCAGTATAGCTCATCTCAAAGTTCTGTCATTCTATATGCTTTAACATTTGCCCAAGACACTGTTTTCTTTCCATGTTCTGGCAATATATGTTTTTTGGAGTCTGCAGTAATGTAAGGATGTAAGGCAACACATGTGGAAAGAGGTAGCTGCGTAAACTGATAATATTGGAAGATGCATTTTTGGGGCACACAAGCCTTTAAATCTCCAATACAGCAAAAGGCTTTAAAATTGAAAACAGTTGCTCAATTTACATAAATGTGCTCAGTCCCTAAGAGAAAAGCACGTTGACAGTGGTTCAAAGAAAGCTTTTGAGAAACAAGTTCTCTCCAACCTTTTTTCTTTGCCATTGCTTCACCTGTCAAGTTCATCCACATCATATAAAAGAAAGTTGCTTAGCAAGAGAACAGTTAATATATACTCACACAGTGTCCAGAACATGGGTATCTAAAGCCATAATCTTCTAGCTGCTAGTTGTAACTAACTAGAAATATTTACCTAGCCCTATTGTGGATAAGGATCTCATTAACTTTACTATGATGGAGGTGAATGCAGGTTGAATTCAGGTTTTATAACAACAACCTCCCTGCAACAGACTTAACTATACTAGCTTTCAATTCTATTGCTTTTACTACTATGACTCTTCCATCTGTCTGAAAAATCCAGTCATCCGTAGAGAAAACACAAATACAGCAGAAGTAATGTTTAATTCTGTATCGATAGCTAGTTAGGTATAACATAGCCATTCTTCTCAACATTTTATCTTAAGGTTATCCGATTGGAAATCATTATTCTGTACTTAGGTGTACAGGATACATGAGTTAAGTTTCACCAGCGAGTTTTAGTCAGTGTCTTATTTCCTGCTGTCTTAAAATATTTTAAGATTGTCCTGTGAGCTCATTTCAGCACTAATACACTATATACACTTTTTTTTTTACTTGCCAAACATTTATTTTTTACTCCAAAGGAAAACTTGTTTTTCTAAAAAAGATCCTGAGCACATTTTTCAACCATTACCCCACACTCAAAATTTCATGTGGAATACTGTCAGCACTGGTAACGTCAGAAAATTCTCCAGTTACTTCACACTACTGGTTAAGATTATAGGACAGCACTGAAAACTATTTCAAGTCTACTGAAGCTTTCCTTTTCTTGTTAAGACATAAGAACACACCACAGGCAGTTTTACTGCAAACTGAGAAGAAACCAAAGAACATGAGATATATTTATTACCAAGAAAGACAAACGCTGCAACACTTAACATGGGAGTCATATTTGGAAAAATGGCTAAATAGAAATTTGTAGGCAAGATGTAGCTACACAAGACACTTTCAAGAAGTTTTGTCCCATTAGTCATCTACTTCCTGCATATAGACCTACTCTGAAACTACAACCAGCAAGTACATCAACTGACAGGCAAGATCAATATAAACCAAAGAGTTTCCCATGTAAGGAAATTGCTTTATGTTTAAAGAGGTGGGAAGACACACAACATATGTTATTAAATAGCGAGTCAGTATTTGAGAGGTAGTCTAGTTGCTCATTTGACTGGAAGAGGTAGAGCTAGTTGAGAAATCAATAGCCAGGGCCAGTCAAAATGATTAATTATCTGATGTTTTCCAAGATGCAAAAAAAATTACTCTCAGCCTGAGACTGCTTACGTTACCAGGGATTCAGTTGTCTTGCTCATATCTACTCACTTTTACATAAGTAAGATTATTCTAAAATACCCATTCAGGGAAAGAATGCTCCCAGAAATAGCCAGGGAAATAGCTTAACTACATTTTGGCATGTGTCAACCAATTAATCTAATTTACACATCTTATAACTACGAAGGTTAATATAGCTAAATGGCTCTCCTCTTTTAGCAAAACAAATACATACCAAAGACTAGAAGCAAGTTAAGTCTCAAATTCCATAAGGGTTTACCTATGTAAAATCCTCCATGCAATTTCTTTCCACAAGAAAAAAGGCCAATTATTTTAAAGATGAAAGCTGAAGCACATTTGTAATACAGTCAACAGGTATTAAACCCCTTGTATCTTGAAAGTTAATACATTTGGGTACAGAATTATACATAATGTTCCCTTGGATTGATGTAGACTCTTCCAGGTCCTGAGTTTTGCGGGTATCTGCTGCTCCAATTTTTGTAGTATGTTTGCTGATAAATTGGATACATATGCTGAAGACTTTCTTCCTCCTGTGGCTCTTCAGCCTCACAGGTAAGTTGCCTTCCATTTACAGCTTTCTAAAACACACATGAGAAGTAATCAGTTTCGTAGTTCACATACAGAACCTGCAATTCTGACTCTTAAAGCTTTAATCAAAATAAGAAGGTACATGATCTCCAAAGCAGTCCTATGAATCAAGAAACATGAACTTAATACTATTAATTAACAGACATATGACAGAAGTGTTAGTAACTACTCAGAGTTGACCTCAAACTTTTGTTTCAAAGGAAGTTAGATTTTAAGGCTGAAAAAAATCTTAAAAGCAAAACACAAGCTATGAAATAGTCTGTCTGCAGTTCTGTGCTTTGTTAAATTACTGAACTAGGACTTCAAAGCTCTAGTGTTTATGTATTTAAATTAGTCAGAAAAACTACCTAGGAAATAAAAGATATTAAAACGTTATCAACACTTTCACTTCATGGTCAACAAATCCACACATCTAACAGTTATTGACTAGGATGGACAAATACTTTGCTCTTCATGAAAACCATCCTTATAAGCTTATTTTAAGGAACCAAACAAAATTGAAGCTTTAATCAGGAATTCAAGCCATCTTATTATTTACCATGTGCTGCAAGTTTTCAGCATCTTTCTCTCTGTACTGGTTCTGCAAAGCAAGATGTTCTTTCTGAAAGAAGAAAAGTTACAGTGGAAAAAAGTCAAAATTCAACACCGCATAACAGGTTTGGTTTATACAAAAGTGCTAGTCATCACTAAATACACGCTGCCTTGTGAAGCATCTTACCTGACTACCATTTAGAATACTTCTTACAAGCTAATCTCTGGCAGAAAAAAAGATGCTGCTATTAATTTGGGAAGTGTTATTTACACATATTTCATTTTGACTTCTTTAAGCATAAGCATGTTTGAGAATGATTAAAAAGCTTTTTTTTTATTTTAACATGACATTATTTTTAGATAAGCCACATTTTAAAATAGAAGTAAAACCCCAAATCAGTTATACAGTATAAGATTTTGACAAGCATTGTATGGATAAATGCCAAGTCTGATATTGCACAAAAGTATTTCACTGAAAAGACTGAAGACACATAACTTCTAGATAGAAAATAATATCTAAAAAAGTTTCTCTAATTTGCCAACTATATCATCTAGAACAGTTTTTCATTAATAGTACTCCTGATATTGTAAGGAGGACATAGTTGTGGCTTATTTAGCATGATGGTAACGAAAATCATATTCAAATACACAAATGCTTCATAACCAGCCAGGTTGAAAACTTTAAGAAATAACAACAGATGGAAATCTTGCCCATTATATACACACAAAGAAAAATGAGCTACATGTAGATTATCCATACTGAACAATGTATGGCTAATATGCACATATAGAGCAAGTAATAATTATTGGTAGATTCTGTTAGAAAACCAGCTCTACTGGCACATAAATCAGCACACTTAGTGCGCTCTTGTAAGCAAGTTAGAAAAACATGGCAGAAAGGAACTTCTGCCAGAGTTCACTCAGACATTTAGTTGAAGTAGAATCATCCATATCAATGTCTTGTGGAGATACCATTCAAAAGCAGCTTGGACAACAAAAAAGTTTCCCAGGCAACTCAATATCTTCTCTGTTATTGTATCAGCAAGCTTTTCTAATACCTAACACAAAAAAACTCATTTCCACAAGTAAGTTTGTTTGGTTTTGTTTTTGGGATTTTGGTTTTTGCGTGTTTTTTTTTTTCTTAGCCAAATGAGAGCACGTAGATTTCTGTTCTTTGAAATGGTCCTTCACGTAGTAGGAAAAACACCATGTCCTTCAGTATTTCTTTCAGAATGGCTAATTGTTTCCTTCAGTCATTACTCACGTACTTATCACAAACATGGTTAAAATGCCCTGCATGCCTTCTCATGGGGCTTTGAGCAACCTGGTCTAGTGGGAGGTTTCCCTGGCCAGGGCAGGGGAGTTGGAACTTGATGATCTTTAAGGTCCCTTTCAACTCTAACCATTCTATGATTCTATGATATTCCCAGTGCTTAAAGTGGAAATTGGGGCCAATCTCAAAAGGCAGACTACTATTAAATTCACCAGCTGCTGGATGATAAGAATAGATACTTATCCAAGCTACTCACCACACTGATCCAAGGGGAGACAAGAAGCATCTTTATTTTGCTCAGGTCTCACCCTAGCAGGACCTTGTGACTTGAACTGCTTGTCTCATGACTTACCAGCAGCATTTCTCAACTAAGAAGTTATTTCCCTGCTAACTTAAACCTTACTCTGTAAAGCTCAACTCCTCCCTCAGACATCTTCTATCTAAACAAAGAATCAACCCTCTACTAACCCCTGGAATTGTTTTGGAAAAGACAGCAAGACTCTGGGAAAACAAGTAATTCCTGTCTCTGCTGTGTAAAGAAGGTAAATAAGAGGCTATCTTCATAGTAACATACAACTAAGTTATCTGGGTCAAGCATAGGGAGACTTCAATGACTAGGTTATCAGGTTTATTCAGAAAACAGACAACTCTGCAGCTTAATACTGCTTGTTTTAGCTCCAGTCTGTCACTACCCAATTTCACAGCTTTACCATTGCTTTGCCATCAGCAACCTCAAGGTGAGCAAGTAGGCAAAAAAGTGAGTAACATTACAGTAGCTGAACACAATAGGATCAGGTATAGCCAAAAGGAACAAACCTGTACCTTGAGGTTATGCAGTCACTGGTCTGAGATATCAGAGCAATGGCTTGAAAGGTGAAGCTTTATGGACAAGCAGAACAGTCTTCACAGTTATAAGATTATACGACAAAATGGAAGACAAAGAGCGGACAAGTGCCTGTAATTCCCTCCAAAAAAAGAGGGCAATCGCACTGCATTAAGAGCAACAGCATGAAGAAAAATCATTAATCAAGGCTAACCATCGTATCAAGAGTTCATATCAGAACAGAATGCAAACAGTGTACACTTCATACTATACATACTCAGATCAAGAGTAGTTGGATATAATTTTTTCTTCACTGAAGTCAAATAATAATTTTCAACACCTGGCTGTATACATGAAGTTGCTGAATATTTCCATGCAATTAGTAGTTACAGCACTGATCAGCTTATATACACATCTTGAACGTGCAAAATAATTTAGAGGTTGGTCTAAGCAAAAGAATCCAGCCCTGGAACTATCACACTGATTTTCCCCTAAACAAATAACCAAAGCAAGAGCATGTATCCTCAAGAGGACAGGCAATACAAGAACCTTCCAAATAGAACAAAGAGCTAAACTAATTAGCTTATTTTGAAGTTAACTTATTAAAAAAAAAAATAATCAATGAAAACATAACTTGTCATTTAGTGTAAGTTTATATACTTGCCTCTAATTTTATTATATCTGGAAGACAAAGTTCTACCCATTTCAGGAAGAAATGCTTCCTTGCCCCTTTTCTCCATCTAGTAAATAGACCGCATACATTACAAAGAGCACACTTGAACGGATATTTTCAAATCCTAAGGAAATCAGCTCTTTGTTAGGTGCCTCTACGGTTTTACACTCCATCAAAAGCAGCAAAGTATCTAAATGTTGCACCTTTTATTCTTAACCTTAGTTTTGAAAAAAAAACCACAACCCAACGTGTACTGCAACTATACATTTGCATTTCTGTGAATAAAGGTATTTTTTCCAGGGAAGATTTAGTACAACTAAAACCACTTCCTCATGAATAGAAAACCTTCCCACAATTGAGCCAGCTCACTATCAGAAGGGCCAGTTTTGAACCTAATCATTTTATCTGTTATTTGAAGCTTTTTGGAAAGTAACATTTCACTAAAAATAATGTAAACTCCATATTTTTACAGTTATGCCAGTGCCTAATGGTACTATGGGGGGAAAACAGAAGAACAACTTTAACTAGCTATCTCATTCTAGACTTTCAGACAAATGAGACATTATAGACTCCAGTTCAGCAGCACAAAAGGTTTGAACAAGTAAGAGTTTAAAGCCTCATTCAAGACAAAAATAAATAAGTCTTTTCCTGAATATTAAATGCAATGTCTGAAAATACTTTCTGGTTCAATCTGCAATGTAAACAGAGGTCTGCTTGTGTTGAACTAATACTGTAGCAGATTGATACAGTTATGGAATTATCAAGAGCCAATACAATTCTCTCAAACATTTCAGAAGTAACACTTTGACTTCCATTTGCTTTGAGTTTAATAAGTTTTTTTTTTTAACCATTTGCCCAGTTCCACCACTCAGTTCACTCATCTCTTCATACCTCAAATGGCTTTCAGAACTACAGAATCATATCAGTGATACATCAATGCTCTAGTTCAGATTTATTGGCATATATTTAGGATAATAATTCTGTTTCTAGAAATCAGTTTAACTTTCAACAATAATTCTACATGAGCACTAGTTTAGTTTTAAAAAGGTAATATAACACTACAACTTTTAGATTAGACAGAGCTATACAATATATTGATGATAATGCCATTTATTTAACACAAGATTCAAAACATTGCTTCCAGTCCAAATTTTTTTTTGTCACCATTATGATGCAGTAACTTTGTTATTGGAACATGCTACTTCCAAACACACAGTTAATTGCCAACTGACTGACTTAAAGGATCGCCAATTTTAATACCAAACAATGCTACCTGAAAATTATGACTTAGGATACAGCTAACACTATGGTATCATCACTCTTAAGTAAGTTTTTCCTTCTATGCCACACTTAACTAGTACTATCGGGGCACAACAGGCTACAGTAATAGCTTTTGCGCAATTACACATTTGCTTACATTTTGTAATTCTTGCTTTTCCCGACAGCCTCATAGTGGTACCAACAATGTAAAGCAGCTAAATTGCTGGTCTTTCAGCAGAAACCCCACCAATCTCAAGTAATGTTTCATTCTTTTATCTTCCTTCCTCTTCACTTTCTACTTTTCCACATTTGTTAAAGTTTTGAAGCAATTTTCAGTTACTTAACTTTTAAAATGACCTGCAAATTCACTGCAAAACAAGTTTGAAAACTCATCTAATATTTTCTACTTTTCCCACTCCTCCTATAGGGTTTTTCAAAGTTTTGTTTATGATATTTTGTCTTGTAATTCCATTAAAAGCATTTTTTCCCCTCTTTTCAAGTCATACTGCTTTTGCTCCTCAACTCTTAGAATGCAGTCTGTAGATGAATTCCAAAAATATGCAATTTACCATTTACCAGGAGACATTGATATTTTGTTGTACCCAAGCTAAGAGAATGAATTCACCACACAAGGAGGCAAAACACACATGGGGAACAAGAACCCTGACATCACCAAAGACTAATGTTCTGTGAGCAGAAAAAAAACCATCTGCCTGCTTTAGAATTTCTATCAACAGTGGACTGTAGACAATTTAGACAAACACTGGAAACCAGAACAGGAAATTCCAGTGGGTTCATTTATTCAGTTAAAACAACATCTGCCTGCTTTAGAATTCCTATCAACAGTGGACAGTAGACAATTTAGACAAACACTGGAAACCAGAACAGGAAATTCCAGTGGGTTCATTTATTCAGTTAAAACTAGAGACAAAAGAAATGATCTCACATGGCATGAAAACACAACACACCCTTGCTAGAAAAAGGAGTTGCACCTTTTACTGCCATGAAGTGATAGAACCAAAATTATCATATTCTGTCAAAGAAAACTGGTGCTGAGCTATAGGGTTTCTCTGCAGAACACCTGGGGGTTTGTGCTTTGATACTTAGAACAGTTTGTCTTACCCTTATATTTTACAGAATTATACAATCACCTATGTTGGAAAAGATCTTTAAGATAGAGTTCAACCATTAACTTAACACTGCCAAGTCCACCAGTAAATTATATCTCTAAGCATCACATCTACATGTCTTTTGAAGACCTTCCAGGATGGTGACTCAACCATTTCCCTGGGCAGCCTTTTCTAGTTATGGGTAATTATAAAAATCAATAATTATTTAATAAGTATAAACATTAAAATGCTTGATTTTGGCAGAGTTTCATAAAAGCATTGAGTTTTACTCTAAACATGCTCCTTCTCAAACAGTCCTTTAAAAGCCTAAATCAATTATCTCACCAACTTCATCTTACATTTTCACATCCTTTCCAATTTAGATATTCTATTATGAAAGCATCCACTAATACAAAACCTGTGCTTCATTCTAGTCCCTATCTGGTAAATGTTTTTTTTCCATTAAGATCCTTCATCAATATAGATGAGTTTATCTATGCACATTTTGTGCCTCCTTCCATTCAGTCTTGTTTGCCTCAACAGCTCTTCAGTCTAAGGGAAGTTATAACAATAATGCTTGCTTTTTCATCAAAGAAGAGATGTTCCCACATATATTAATACCATTAGGAAAAGAACTAGAAGAGTGTAAGAGAGCCATGCTCTATTAATGAATCAATATTATGCTATGTTTAAGAGTACTGAGGATGATCTTTTCAAATTTGATCCAGAAATACCAGCATTCAGCAAATGGTATTATTTGTTTTTAACTATGCTAATACAATTTCATTATCTTCTTTCCTGATTTAAAAAGGAATAAAGATATCACAATTAAAGCGTTTTAGTGTTTGACCACGTTGCTTGGCTAAGTATATGAGGTATTCTTACAAGTTGCAAGCCCAAAGTCAGTCTTCTCATGGCTAGAATTACTAATGGGGCTGTATTTCTCTTCGCCACTTATTTCTGTTGCTACAAAAAAAGCCCTATTAATTGCTGAATGTTTCAAGAACTCTGAACATTCATGCATTGCATTATACAAAACAATGTTTTTTCCTCTTTCTTTTCCTTTTTCCTTCAGAAGCACCTGTCAAGCTAGACATAACTTCAGTTCTTTCACACTGTCAAAGACTGTTCATCTCAGTCGTGCTTCCAGACTAGTAAAGAACTTTTACTTCTTAGTGATATATTCTTTGAAATACAGTGAAACTAATTCTAATGATTCAAAGGATTGCCTGAATTAGCACCCACTCCTTTTTATAAATATTATGCAAGAATGGAATTCCTCTTTAAACCACTGGAATTCTTCCATTGCTCAACTTCCTCCTGATTTGCCTCGAAACTCAGTTGCCAAGCAGAGACTCCTCTCTCACCAAGGACATAACCTTCAGACTGCTCACTGATCTTTCCTATTACATGCAAAAAATAGTTCTGAGTAATAAAACAGTATTTCCATGACAGTGATTATTAAAAAAAACAAACAGCCAAAAGCAAGAGCTTTGTTGCTAAAAAAGTTGATGAAGATGAACCTACAGTCTTCACAGTAAATAAAACTATTTACATCGCCATGTTTCCTTTGTTCCATATAGTATTCCTATGTTATGGACTTCTGTCTCACTATTTTAGGGCCGTAAGTGAACTGGTTCTTCTTGATTCTTAAGTGATGCACATGAATACATAAATTGGTATCTGTAAACACCAGTAGAGAGAAATTATGAGTATTCAGTTAGACAGTACTTTTACATACATGTAGCTTATTATTTAATGTTAGCATGTAGATGCTAATGTATACTTAAAGCACACTTAAAGTTACTTACCATTACTTACCAGTAACTCCAAGTCTGAAGGAGTAACTATGAAAGACGTTGGTGACCCAGTATTATCATATGTCTACAATACCCCCCTTCATTTTAATACCAACATGCATCTACTCAGATATGGGCAAAATCTAGTTATACATTGACTGCTAGGACACAAACAGGAATATTTCAGCTTAGTTGCTTCTGGAATACTTCATAAGATCCAAAAAAGCTGCTGTGCATGATCTGAACTATAACCATACAAATTATTTAAAAATTTGCATGTTACATATAACAACTTAACAGAATGGGCTTAAATTGGATCAATCCACTTTTAATGGTCAGTTATTGTGAGCATGCAGACAACGTCATCTAAATTCACTCTCCTTTAACTTTTCTTTGCACCTTCATGCAGCCTATAATTTCCACTCATATTAAATTTGATCATCTATTGCTTTTGACAATGCAGTGACAGTTGCTGCAGTTCTTTTCAGTGTAACCAGCAGCTTACATCTGAACCATCTAGAGGCTCACCAGCATGCCTGTCATTTGTGCCTAAACAATGCAGTTCAAACAGCACTTGGAACAAATTACGTGGCTAGTACAGAATTTTAGTCAAGCAGGACAAGACATAGTGACAGGTTGCTAACTTGCTTCTTTTATCTCTTTACAGCTATTCGAGTGTTGGTTTATTACAGCAAAACAATGGAACTAAGCACTTCTTCGCTAAAGCTACTATTTTGACACTTATTTCTATTAGACAAAGCAGAAGCTGTTGCCTCAAGTAGAACAGAGTACATGTTGATTATAGGTAGTAGCAGCTATAAAGACTTAGCCTCCAGCTCCAGTTCTTTTCAGTTTTGGACTTCCACAGAAGAAAACAGGTACACTGACAATGTTACACCAACAACCATTATTTTAAAATAAAGCACAGTTAACATCTAGCCTGAAAAAGAACTAGATCTACCTCCTCTCTTTCCCAAAAGAACTTAAAACTGCATTTATCCAGCTTGAGAGAAATGACTATTTGATTCAGCCTGTTTAGGGTCTTTATTTACAAAATACATTTAGATAAAACATTTTATTATATCCTTAACAAAGACAACTAAGAAAAGCTGAAGCTGACTGTAGAGTACCCACTAATAGAAGCCACAGTAAGCAAAACTAAGAATTCAAAGCCAAGAGTTCAGAAGCAGAAAACAATAAAGGATGTACTTCATGCATAGCCCTATAAAGGATAAATAACTGCATTTCCTTTGGTTGTCATTTTGCCATCTAGCGTCACTATAGATGCACAAATAACAAAGTAGTCCATATCATATGATTTTGTAAGCAAGTATCTTTTACCATATTACTTTAATCATAGCAATGTATTAGCTGAAGTACGGGTCATCAATACTGCATTTGTTAAGTATCATAGCAACAGAAGTGAGTTACTACACAGCACAAAAAAGCATTGTTTCTTTTGTGTCATCTTAGGTGTTATACCACCTTCAAGATCGGAAGACAAAAGCCTATTATGCTTTTTGCCAATTCAGTATTTTATACCTTCATACTATAATCATCAGGCTGCTAGTAAAAGTAGCCATGATCTCAGAAGAGTTTCTTCTTCATTCAGCAACAATACTAGCAAAGTATTACTAAAAGTACTATTTATAATACACAATATTCTTTTCATGCATTAGTTTCATGAGAAAAAGGAAAGCTTTTATCACCAACTCATATTTGGTGATATTTAGTAATCAGCAACCACATGAAGAAAACTACAAGAATATTTTCAATATTACTGTATCAAATCCATCTTTGAAGATGGGTGAAGATTTTTTTCACCCATTTTAGAGTGTCTTCCTCTATCAGAAAAAAAAAAAGGCTTTTATTGGTCCTTAAGCTGCAAAGTTACATCAAAGTATTGGAAAAACAGTATCCATTACACACAAATGATTACCTGAATTACCTCAGGTTTGTTATTCAGCATATCAGTGGTTATAATCACATTATTTATACAAAGTACTGAAATTGGAACAAAAATCCTATTACAAACAATTACTATCTAATTCTCACTAATACTGACAGGTGATTAAAGTTTTCTTCAGTGTAAGCAGAAATTGAAAGATCAGGTTAACTGATTTTATATATATTTTTAAAAATTCACGCTTTAGGGGCTATAGTCAGGATCTATACTTTTCATCCACAGACTGGTTTATGATATGAAGTGTAATAATCAATGCTGTTAACTGAAGCTGTATCCCATACATGGGTCCCTTCTGTGTTGCCTTGTGCAAAAGAAGCCTTTTGAATTCACCTGGAGTCTCTCAGGTAGCCCAATCCAGCGCAAAGCCGTGCTGTAATTAAGAAGAGCAGTCCTACCCTTCCTTGTTCCCCACTAATTTTAACTGTCTCGTTTACTAGAATTAGCTTTCCAGCATATCACCTCTATGATCCTGTTACATCAGGTAATATTCTCCTGTATATTCTCCTCATCACCACAGAGCTTCAGCTATAGCTTTTTCTACTTCAGGAGCAGCAAAGTCTGTTAAACACTATTAGAGACATGAAAAGGATCTATCTACAAGTTTCCTGACCTTTAAGGATGACTTTAATACCAAGGGCATGACTCAGGTACCACATGTGTAGGGAAACTTCTTGGTTGTGAATCAACAATCAAAAAACTCCACACATTGCCAGGAAAGCAAAAATCAGACTAAATCAACAGAATAAAGGAAAGTTAACAGTTTTCCTACCTCATTGACTACATATATATACATATATAACCACTTACTCACCTGAAGCATAGCTTCTTTCTGTGGTATAGAGAAAGCTCTCTCCTCACACGAGGATGGTTTGTGAGTGGGTGGAAGATCAATCCTGTAGTAAAGAAAGAATGAAATATGACATGTCATGTTTGTGAAGTCCAATTGAATGGTCAGTTAAATATTATTTATTTTAGCTGCCAAGTCATCCATCACTCACACTCAGGGACACACACCTTTGAGTCAGCAATGACACATACACGGAGTATTGTAAAGATAATACACCCACCGCTGCCAATAATTCAGCCACACACTTTTTGTAGAAAAGCACTGTCTATAATTTGTTATTTGTCCTATAAGGTGTTAAGTAGACTGAACTCTTCACCGCCACCCCCTCTCCTCTCCAACTAAATATGATTAGGGACTAACATCTGTCATCACTTCTTGTTCATGATACAGCTTGAAAAACCTTCAAGAAAGCCTTAGAAACGATTATTACGTGCAAGACCTCTGTACTGTAACTTTTTCAGTGAAAGCAAATGGTTATAAAAATTAAAATGTTTAAAACTATTCATGTAAATATGCTTCAGCTACAGAATTTAAGAGAAATAAACAAGAAATCAGTATTTCTAACCACATTAGAAATTACCAGTTTTAAGAAAACATTAGACTCCTTTTGCTAGCTCAGCAGATTCAAATGTTGAAACTTATTTTATGCTAAATTCTGTATGTTACTTTATTCTACTCCTTATTAAGTATACAGAGACATGACAGACATTTTAATTTCTCATTCAGTTTAAGTGTTAACTGCACACAGCATATGTGAAAAGACTTCTATTTACAGATATTCAAAGCCAGTTTTTATGCATGTTCCAAGCAAGGTCTAGACATCATCCACTCTACCTGACAAAATCTTTTCATGCTTTTTTTGCTTGCTTGGATTTGACCATATTAGATGCTTAAAAATGTAAACCACATGTCTGCATCAGAGACTTGAAGAAATAAAGTGCTTTGTGGAATATTGGTGAAGTCAGTCATTTCTAAGCACACACATCCATGGGTGATGGCTTCATTTTACACATATTTCTTTCTTAGTGGACTTTTACTCTGCAGAGCATGGATAATTTGCTCTCATGTTAGACCTACAGTTATGATAAACTAGCAGTCTGTGGCATCAGTCAAGATGGATCTCTCCCCTGCCCTCCAGTTCAACCAATGAGCAGTTTTCCTTCAAAGAAACACTTCTGAGGAGATAAAGAATTATGTTACCTCTGAAGTCATTCTTAGGTTCCTCAACTCTTTTTCAGAAACATGAATGATTTTACATTTGTCTACTCTGTAAATAAACCCCTGAAATTATGACAGCTACACAGCTGCTAAGGAGACTCAGACCTTTAAATTCCTGTATAGAATGAATGCTTTCTGCATATTGCTTTCAATTAAAAAAAAACCCAAACAAATCAACACATACTTACACTTTGTCAAGATAGGATGGCCTCTTTTTCCTTGGGGTCAGCAGCACTGTCACAAAGATGGTAATGATAAACAGAGCAAGGACTGCTCCAATCACAGCCCCTGCTACAGCAACAGAAGATGTCTGCTTAAATGGCATATCTGCAATGTGATAGCATAGGTTACACCTTAAAGAAGTTCTCATACTTCAAATACTCAGATAAGCTATTTCAGCATCGCTCTGAGAAATGTTTCTTCCTTCTGTGACAAAAAAAAGCCTCGTTCTGCGCTAACAGTCTTGCAGTCTTGGCGCCACGCTCATGGGTCTCATGGATCATTAATATTTCAAAAATTTCATTGTCTACTTTTAATAAATACTAGCTGCATGCTTTTATTTTCCATTTCAAGGCAAGATGAAGTTACAGAACACATGCTTTGCACTTACATGAGCAAACGAGGTGTTAATTCAAAAAGCTAGACAACTATAGCTCTACTGGCAATCTTTCTTTAAAGCCCCTGAAGTCTACAGAAAGGAAAAAGGGAAACTTAAAATAATGGGAAAAAAAGACATACTACAAGGAGGAATGAACATGCCAACTCACTAATACTTAACTTACAATAATCAAAGCAACCCCTAAGACCATCTGTCATCTCTAGGACTTCACACTTCAAGCTATGAGAAAGTAATTTTTATAAATGAATTTTAACAAGAGGAGAGAAAAGTTATTTATTTTTTTTTTAAAAAGCATTTTTCTTTTGACCTCAGGACTTTCAAATCTAATGTTTTGCAACTCTCATACTAATTAACACACATGCCAGTCTTTGAAGGTCATTCATTTCACTATACTTGGAACTTAAAAAGTTTCAAATCTTGTAAAGCTGTGAAACTTGTTTGTATATTTTAATTCAATATCATCAATGTTTCAAACTTGCAAAAAAAAAAAAAATGAAGTCATTCTTAGGTTCCTCAACTCTTTTTCAGAAACATAAATGATTTTACATTTGTCTACTCTGTAAATAAACCCCTGAAATTATGACAGCTACACAGCTGCTAAGGAGACTCAGACCTTTAAATTCCTGTATAGAATGAATGCTTTCTGCATATTGCTTTCAATTAAAAAAAAAACCAAACAAATCAACACATACTTACACTTTGTCAAGATAGGATGGCCTCTTTTTCCTTGGGGTCAGCAGCACTGTCACAAAGATGGTAATGATAAACAGAGCAAGGACTGCTCCAATCACAGCCCCTGCTACAGCAACAGAAGATGTCTGCTTAAATGGCATATCTGCAATGTGATAGCATAGGTTACACCTTAAAGAAGTTCTCATACTTCAAATACTCAGATAAGCTATTTCAGCATCGCTCTGAGAAATGTTTCTTCCTTCTGTGACAAAAAAAAAGCCTCGTTCTGCGCTAACAGTCTTGCAGTCTTGGCGCCACGCTCATGGGTCTCATGGATCATTATTATTTCAAAAATTTCATTGTCTACTTTTAATAAATACTAGCTGCATGCTTTTATTTTCCATTTCAAGGCAAGATGAAGTTCCAGAACACATGCTTTGCACTTACATGAGCAAACGAGGTGTTAATTCAAAAAGCTAGACAACTATAGCTCTACTGGCAATCTTTCTTTAAAGCCCCTGAAGTCTACAGAAAGGAAAAAGGGAAACTTAAAATAATGGGAAAAAAAGACATACTACAAGGAGGAATGAACATGCCAACTCACTAATACTTAACTTACAATAATCAAAGCAACCCCTAAGACCATCTGTCATCTCTAGGACTTCACACTTCAAGCTATGAGAAAGTAATTTTTATAAATGAATTTTAACAAGAGGAGAGAAAAGTTATTTGTTTGTTTTTTTTTAAAAAGCATTTTTCTTTTGACCTCAGGACTTTCAAATCTAATGTTTTGCAACTCTCATACTAATTAACACACATGCCAGTCTTTGAAGGTCATTCATTTCACTATACTTGGAACTTAAAAAGTTTCAAATCTTGTAAAGCTGTGAAACTTGTTTGTATATTTTAATTCAATATCATCAATGTTTCAAACTTGCAAAAAAAAAAAAAAGGGCTTACAAAAAGTTGAACAATTGGAATTATTCCCATGAGTTTCACTAGAACTCCTACCTGTAATATATATGTAGATTACAGAAATAATGGTCTGAGCTACATTGATTACTGGATAAGAAAGGTAACAGGAAAGAAACTAATTAACAGAGCTCTCTACTTGTAACATTCGTAATGCAGTTTACTTCAGGTATATTCCTTCAGAAAGGATCATATGCTATGTTTATCCAAACACACAGAGACCACACTCTAATCTCTTACCAGAAGAAACTTTAGGAGCCTCTCCAGCTACATATTCCATTTACAGGTCAAAAAACCAAAATAACTATCCAATCTGTTTTATCAATTCCTCATAGTTCTAATGCTGTTCTGCCCACGTGGTGGAAAGCTGGATAAAGGCAAACTTTTCTCATCCCTCATTTAAAACAAACAAACAAAACAAAACCCCCCCACACAACAAAAACCAACCCAACCCAAAAACATCTTATTTCCAATCTGATACAGGAATGCCTGTCCTCTCACTGCATATGAACAATATCACAGCAATACTCCCCTGGGATGCATGCAGGTATCTATAAGCAGATTGAACAAAACTGAAATAAGCATTTTTAGTGACTTTCTTAACATTAAGGGATAAAGTCACAGATTAACACTCACAGGAAGCTAATTCACCCTGGAAGATCATAGTAACACATCACCTTCAGTGATTATGGTTCTGTTTTAAAGAGTAGCTTTCTTGGCAGAAGCTCCATTCGTCTGTCAGTACCAGTCTACATACATAAGAACCATCATTCCCATCTTCTCCTGAAGAATGGGCACATGAATCACTGGAAGGCTCACTTAAACACTACATTTTAATTACTTTAAGTTTAGTTTACACTGGGTTCCCTCTTTAAATGATGAAGTTGCAGGTAACTAACATACAGCGTTTCGTGTAGAATTCATGAAGATGGCTTTGGTCTTGTGAGCACAACTTTACCAGAAGAGTTACTTGACTGTTTCATACTGTACCAACTTGACACTTTTTTTTTTTTCTGGTAAGTTCTGCTATAATATCAAAACATCAAAGTATTATACTTTCAATTAAAGTTTTTGGGTGAGATAATAGCCACCCATTTACCTTTGAACACCAGGAAAAATAACAATAACCCAGCAAGCGTAGCAACATACAGGAACTGAAATTACTTTAGCAAAAAAGAGTAGGCCCCAAAATTATATCAGACTAACCAAAGGAATGATCAGAAACCCAGACCACCAAGCTGAACAAGCCAGAGAGCACCTACGATATGTGGTATCAGCTGCACAGCATTTGAACCACAAGTTGATCAGAAACAGATGGGAATTGATTCACTCCAATAAATATGTTTAAGCAGAGCTACAGCAACCGAAAACAAAAAAAATTCTTTTAAAAGAATGTGAATCCTAGACAATGTATCAGCTGTGCTTCAGGTGAAACTATCTCGACATCAACTGTACCTATTTATCATTCTCAATGTTCATACTCTTCAAATGGTTTCTTAAGATACTTGTTTTATATGCTTATGGTCACTAAGAGGAAATGCTAAAAAAGCCCATCTTAAACAGCTTAAATACTTAAGGTCCTTCTACCCAGCCTCTGGCTTTATTTTGCTTTTTCATCTTCAATTTTAAGGATATATCTGTCAAACATTTTTGAACACTACCTATGTTCCAGAATGTAACAAAAAGTTTATTCACACAACAGCCATTTGTACTTACAATCAATTCTTTTTACAGCAGACATAATGTACAAAACATTGCAACACGCATAAGCCCTATCCCTATTATCAACTTCAACTCCAAAACATTTCAACTTCTTAACCCATAGGAATTAAATATATATATATAATCTATATTTTTAAAAATCAAAACAAAAAATCCACAGAGACAAAAGCAAGATATCCCATGTGGAGAACAGGTTTATGGTTATGTTTATTTCCAAGTAACACCATCTTTTAAAGATGATATATCAAGTATTTTTTATTTGAAGAGAGGTATTATCTCTTTATTCCAGAAATAATGTGGTTCAGAACCTTCTGCTAGAACTCAAACTACAGAGACACACAATATCATTTGCTGTTGTTCTTGAGACTTTGGTCAATTCATGTATCAGTACTCCATTAATCCAAACATGAACTTAAGTTGTTTGGGGATGCTTTTCCATTTGAATTTCAAATAAAGCTGCTGTTTTAATCTTTTTAAAGACATGCAGTCATATGCAATCACAGTGTATTGTCTACAACGCTCAATACAACTATTTTAGTGAAGCTCTAAATGCTGTAAGCTACCAAAGATCATGAGGATAGAAAAGAACTTTCAACATGAATGTTCATGAAGCAGCTGTAACTATGCAGCCTATTTTAAAGGTAGCAGAGATTTTTCCCTTTTCAGGTTTCAAATATTAATAGCCTTATCAGGTTCATTTTCTTGAGCTAAACTCTTAAAAATGGCACGTCAAAGAATCTACTATTCTAATTATGAATTTATAATTGTTCTGTAATTCATCTAAAGTTATTTCATTCTTCCCTACATAATCAGCAGAATTATTTTGGTGAAACTGCTTATGACAAAGTAGAACAGCTTCAGATGTCAAATGAGATGTCCTACATACAATGCCATTTTAAAGAACAGGAATAAGTTGTTAAATCAGTATTGATTATTTGCAGGGAGAACAAACCCACTGCGGTACAAGACTGCACAATTTATCTAAACTCCTGTTTTGTACATTCTGTAGTTAGGCCATCAAATAGTGTGTTTTCACTCTATGAAGTAGCAATGTAAATATCTGCTTCTCTACTAACAATTTGAAATCCTATAGTTACCCTCTTCAAAGCAAGCATTGTAACTTATTCAGAAGCAGCGTAAAACCGCTGTTTTAACTTCTGGGCATAAAAATTCTAGCAAATGCTTTGACACCTCTTAGCATGCTTAATGTTTATTGGCACCCAGGAAAAAATTCGCATTAGCTTCCACCTTTGAAATCTATTAGTTTTCTTCTTAGTTGTGTCCAATCCTCCAGCTTTCAAATGCAATGGTAAGATTCCAAAGCTTCAGAAACAGGTCTCTAAATTTGTACCTTGTGTACTTGCAAAAAGAGTTGTCTTCGTTAATGAGTTTTGACATCCTGCCAATTACAACCTAACAAAATATCTTACTGTATGTATATATACACACTAGCATAAGGCTTTAGAAATCAGCAACTATAAAAAAATAATTTTTCATCTTATTCTAAGACAAACCTTTGACCTGTTTACACAGTTACTCCTCAAGGTTTTGTTCATAAGTTAGTTTCAGTGCAATGACTTCTTTTAAGTACATAGTTACAAGAAGGCTCATTAAAATGCTAAGAGGTATTCATTTTTGTGCAGAAAAAAACTAAAAATAAAGCTTTGATTCTGCTGTAACTAATTTCAATTGGTAAAGAATTTTCTATACAGAAGCATTAAGTTTTACATGTATGGTATCTCAATTGGAGTAATTTGCTTAATCTGCAAAGCAAATGTCCCAAAAGATTATGTTTGATCATTGCCTTAGGTAAACTTGCTTTTAAATCAGACAGCCAAGAGAGCCACTTTCTATTCTTCAACAATTTTGAATGGCAACTTTAATTTAGCCTTTTTTTAACCTCTGACATAGACCAATATAAGCACTCTGCATTAAAACTCAAATCTTAAACAGTAGTACAGCATTGGGAAAAAAAGTAGCTGAAATACATTTTCCCCAGATTCAGTATTTCCATTTGTCAAGTCACAATATAAAAACCTTCAAAAAAAATCAGTTTCAAAAAGTTTATTCCTTCTCTTGTGTAAGTATAAACAATCTGAAAGTGATCAGCCAATGAAATGAACTGCAGGTACATGTTTAATTTTCAGTGGTTACTACACATACCACTCCCTCCGAGATATTACCGAGCCATCTATGTGAGAAACAAAGTCTTCTTCATTGTCATCATAACATTCACCACCCATATACTTCATTCCCAATGTTCCACCTTCATAGTAATCCATTGGTCTTTCATAACGTTCCTGGTACCTGTTAATATTGTCTATATTGTTCCACTCTGGTTTTTCAGGGTCTTCTAAATAATCCTTAGATATTAAGCTGTTCATTGGATGCTTTATTTCTTTTTTTATACTGCCAGGGTAAGAATCCACATCATCTGACTGAAGAACATCTATTTGAGACTCTTTTTGC